GGTTGGAGGCTAGGGTGGAGGCCATCACTAGTAGGGTGGAGGCCATCGCTAGTAGGGTGGAGGCCATCGCTAGTAGGGTGGAGGCCATCACTAGTAGGGTGGAGGCCATCACTAGTAGGGTGGAGGCCATCACTAGTAGGGTGGAGGCCATCACTAGTAGGGTGGAGGCCATCGCTAGTAGGTTGGAGGCCATCGCTAGTAGGTTGGATTCTTTGTGCCATCAAGTGCGTTGGCTTCAGAGGCTCCATTCTACTTCGATCCAAGAGGAAGACTGCTCAGGACCTTCTTCAGGAAAACCACCTCGATGGTCCAAGCGAACAATAACTGGTGCCTCTGGGTGTTTGATCGTTGTTTGTCTATATAATCGACAATTGTTTAGTTGGTTGATCAACGTTGAAACATCATGGATTTGCCAGGTCAAAGCCATGCTCCATGATGGCAATGCCAGAAGAAGCCTAAATGTGTGCTACTCTTGCACTGACCACCTTAAAACGTTCGGTCGAAGACCAATCAAGCACACACGTCTTCCTAGGATCTCTTGTTTGCCATTAGACTTGCATGTCATGGTTAGTGAGTATTAAAACAACTGAGTTCACAAGCAGGAAACATTCGGACGATGAAGAGTGCACTGGAAACAACTCGTGAGACGATCCATGAGACGATGGAAGATCCATGAGACGACACGAACGACACGTCCAGGACACGTGAGGGTCCCAGAGTGTCCTGATCGTCTGAGTCACTTCAAATTGTTCATCTATATATCTACACAGCAGAACTCGAAGATTGCATCCGAAAACGCGCAGAGATTTCTCGAGTGACCAAGGTCCAAGCAAACACTTGACATGTGCGAACTCGACGATCGCATGTCCACAGCCACGTGCGCAAAATGAATTTCCGTCTTGAGCCAGGGCTGCCTGATCAAGACATTGAAGATCCCAAAGGGAAGTTCAGGGCATATCTAGAGAGCCTCCAAAGCAACACCAGCTGAAGCAAAGTGTGCCACAAGTGCAAAACCTGTTGCTTATGATGTGCAGGGGGGAAAACACAACAGGCTACTGTGTTTAGTCTAAAAAATCGGCCGAATGTAGATGAGGTCACTGGGCGTACTTGGTCTGTACTTGGTGGGCGAACGCCGTCTTCATCTCGCCGTACACGAACACATCCAGGCTGGTCGACGTATTGCGACACTCCCCAGATCTCGCGGACTGAACACTTCCCGTGGATCCGAAGACGCTCTTATCGAAGTTTCTATCGCCTTACGCTCATGTTCTGAGACTGGGCGAACTGCATATGTCTCCAAAGCTGAGCACCAATGACTTTGGCCCCTTTCGACCTGTCTGTGCTTTGAGACGTTTGGAGATGTTTCAATGTAGGTGGGTCACTTAAAATACCTTCTCGGCATGAGTGGCAACCGAGATGCCTTTGGCTGCCTGACAAGAATGATCACAAGTCGGTTGGTTCGCTTCAAACCCCTTACTCTCGTGTCATTACAATGGCTTTGGCACACTGCAAGTGGTTTAGAAGTTTGCCAGGGCGTGTGACAACAGCACGGCTCCTCTCTGTTCAACGGGCGTCTCCACGACGCATTCGACTCTTTGGTTGACAATGCTTTAGCGCCATGCGCTTCAGGCAAATCTGAGCACCGATGACTTTGCCAATTCCGTCATGCGCCATGCGCCAAAAGCCAGCTGTGGAAAATATGGCAGTCCTTCTAAGGAAACTTGAGACGTTGAATAACACCTTTCTTGGTCCCAAAACCAACGCCGTCGAAGCTGATCTTTTGAGTGCCGAGGTCGCTGATCCTTTTTTCGAGTCGAATGGAATGGAGACCTCCCAGGCGGAAACGCCCTGGCGGGAGTCTCGTGAGTCGAACCCTCTAAGCCCTTGTTACTAGTAGCTTCTATACAAACGCTCAGTCTTACTGCTTGTACCATTTCTTGGAGCATCAGAGGGGAGAAAAACAGCTTCTTTGTCATATAGCATATAGTAACCATACCACTTGGGATTTTGCGCAAAGAGTCTTGAAAACGGTATATTATTGTTATTTGGGTACACCATGTTACCCTAAATGATACATATTATGAAACATAAACTGTAAACATAATATGTGAATACAAATTGCTGTATACGGTAACTATATGATATATGTATATCTAACATCTTTCCACTGCCAGCCTCCTCTATAAAAACATGCGCGCCCCCTCACCAGCATCGGACACTAGCGAAGCTTCGCTGCCGGCCCAAGGGCTCGGCGGTCCGGACACCGCGCACCGTTGGCGCCAAACTTGAAGAGCAGCTGCATCATTCTCCTTAGTCGCCACACTGCCACCCAACCCATGAGACTCTTAAATAGATCCTGCACATGTTCCACCCCAGGGCAACCACCGACAACCATGTTTGACTTTTGCCAACATCCATTTACGGTGGAAATCCTGGACTTCATTGACCATGCTGGACACCAGGTGCCCAGCCGGCTAAAGCTCCAAGGGTCAAGTTGCTTTCCTGCATGGCCACTGTCATTGGATAGGAGCGTTCAAGCCCAAACCAGGAGACCTTCACATCATTCACCTCAGCCGGAGCCCATGTGTCAGGCCGAAACTTGGTGGCACAGGTGTCACCCCTCGCTGCTTCCCAGATGGCAAGTAAACCACGAGGCGATCGTGAGCAAGATGTGGTCTTCGAATACCACTAAAAACAACCTAGACCTAGAGTTGTGTTGATTCCTTGCCTTGATGTTGGACTGCAACCAACAAAAGAAGTTAGGATTCTCACGGCAACCAACCCTCACAATCAGTCGACAAAATCTGCCAAAGGACGTCACGGAACTGATGCAAGTCAAGAAATTCCTTGACCGCCTTCCATTCAAGTTCCTTGGATCGGCAACTCTTGGATCCTTTGAAGCTCCCGTGCCAGGACAAATATCTCGATTGCTGCAAAGTAAAGATAGTCAAAGTATGTGTGATGGCAGTGACCAGCAAATGTCCATTGAGCGGAAGGGCCAGCTGGGCGTGACTAGCTGTGACCGAAACTTGGCAAAGTGCCAACGAAAGACAGAAACTCTAGGGGAGGTCGATGCCAGGGTGGATCAAGTTCTTCCAGTTGCATCTGTTCGTGGGCTAGCAGGTTGGAGGCCATCGCTTTTGAGTGGAGGCCATGGTTCCTAGGAGATTTGGAAGCTCATCTGCACCCGAATTACTCCACCAACGAATCGCGCGAGCCATGCCCGATAGGTGCCGAACAGCGAGGCATGCCGCTGGCTAGCGGTATGGGCTAGCGCCCAAACAGTACGTATGAAACTCACCTATGAAGGGTAGACAAAGACACGTGGCGGTCATCTGGTCACATGACAGGTGTAAAAATAGCCGCTTGGCTGTCCATAGGTCCTTGGCTGAGGTTTTAATCTTTAGTGGTTTAGGAAATATAAGAAATCCCCTCTACATCAAAAGGTCTAAGGGTCTAAGATGCCCAACATTCCTGCGCATGAGTACTCCAATTCACCCACAGCAGCTGCAGAACTAACATAATTACTACTCTTTCGGCACCATGTCACAGTCACCACAAAAAGCATGCCCCTTCCATTTCCATGCGCTTTTCACAAAAAAGAACTGTCACCCCATAAATCCTCCCCCACAAAAAACAAACAAACGCCCTCTCTCCAGGAACGTCCGTCTCTCCAATAAAACTGTTCACCGGTTTGTCGAAAAAACCAGCCCCAACTTCAGCCCAAGCACCTTACGTCTCTCCTCCTTGAGTGCCTTCGTTTGCACCTTGACCGCCGACCGCTGCTGCGTGGCGCGGATCCTTGCCAACGACTGAAGCAGTTTTCCACTGACACACATTTGAAGGGCTCCAGGCGACGCCACGTTTTTGCGGGTAACATGTCTGCTATTCACCTGCTTTAAGGCATCCACCACCTACTTTGGCAAGCGGGAACCGCAACTCGTTGGGGAGTCTTTCCTTTCCTGGCTGGTGGTATCTCACATGTGTTTTTGCAGCCGCTTCGTGAGTTGAGCAATTTTAGTGACAATAAACATGCATGTTTAAATTATGATGGGTAGGAACCGCCAAGGTCACCACACACTTTCAGTTTGGCAGGTTGTTTGTTGTGAAGATGGATAATTTCATTCAAGGTTTGCCCGGTAAACAAGTTTATTACAGGATGTTGTTGGTCATACCAAAATGAGACCTGTAACAACCATTGCAAGCGACCGGTGTTTTTGTAGAACATTGAGTCCATTGTGTCCTATAGTTTCTCTCAATCATCGCCCTTATGTTCACCGCTGTAAGTCTGTAAGCTCTTGAACCCCCAAACATACACACACTTGTCAACTATATACTGCTTTAGTTTACCTTTTGCATCACTCCAAAAACTTCAAATTGCTCCCTGCGTGACAATGTTGAGCACAAGGGGTACCTGCAGGAGAGATTGGAATTTCTATTGATTTCTTTGCAGGGCCGCATGGACTAAGCTACATGTGTATATATATATATATAACATATATACACACATACACATCAGAGAGGTGCAGCTGGTCCAAGTCCCTCCCTAAGGTTTGTTGGTGTTGTGGAATGGCAAAGGGCGTCATGATTTACAGGCCCACATTGATCACAAAACATCTATACTATGTAGTGACCACTAGAGGGCTTGAGAAACATATATGACTTGAACCTCTTTTCCCGTCTCCGTCATTCCCCAAAGCGTCAAGGATGAAATCGTTGACCCGATCCCTTTTCCGACCGTTGGAAAGAGGAGTCCTTCCAGAAAAGAATCCTATTGCTGTGTTGGGTGTCCCATCTTCACAATGGACATTCTACGAGAACTCCTTTTAATGGCCTCCAACCTAGTAGCGATGACCTCCAACCTACTACGAATGGCCTTCAACCTATTAGCGATTGCCTCCGCCCTACTAGTGATGGCCTAACCTAGAAGCGATGTCCTCCAATTATCTGCCTGAGGAAGATGTTTCGGCCTTCTTAAACCAGCTTTTAGCCCCAGGAACTGTTCAGGGGTGGCTGGCTTGATTACTGGCGCGATCTCTCCAGGCTCCATGAGCTTGTACCGACCACCGACCTGCGGCGGTTTTTCTTCGCTCTTCGATGGCGGAAGAGCTTTACCGATCTGGCCGGAAAGAACATCAGCTGCCCATAGCTTGAGCAAACACATAGGATGCCTCGGCAGTGCACCTCGTTTCTGGAAGGATTTCTTCCACGAATGGAAACAACAAAGGAACAACCATCCAACTCCAGTAGATCATCCTTTGCTTGCAAGAGAGAACCCCAAACCTGGTGCCGCCCGAAACATGTGCGGACTGCGACTAGCGACCACGACCTACCACACTCACCTGACCCTGCCCAAAAGGGCCCACAAATGTGACAGCTTCAGTTGCTTTGCAAACTGGTCATGCCTCTTTAGGTTCGAGGCCATTGCTACTATGTTGGAGGCCATTGCTTCACATTCACGGTTGGAGGCCATTGCTTCCGGATTTGAAAAGCACAGTGTGCGACCAACAGCATCGCATCTTGCCTACTTGCGACCGGGCCGTGCGACCGGGCCGTTCCCCCCTTTTGCTTTGGGGAGTGACCATCATTCTGCTGGGCGGGCCACCCAAAGAACCCCCCTAATAAAACCACCCACATTAAACAACAAAAACCCATTAAACAAAAATAACACCAGGGTTTCCAGTTCCCATCCACGTTCGGCACGTTCAACACGGCACGAATCGGTGCCCGCACCAAATCCGCCGCCTGTTCAAAGCAGAACTGGCGAGCCATGTTTGCCGACTTGAGACCAGCCGAACTTGAACAGCTGCGAAAGGCTGCGGGAGAAAACGCAGTGTGGCGACTCTCTGAGGATTGTGTGGCGACTTTCAATGGTTGGCCCTTTGCGTCTAGGACCCAGAACGTCAAACATCCAGCTTGTGTGTGTGTGCAGCAGTTGCAGGGTTGCATGCAAACACATTGCCCCTGAATAAATCGCAATTGCAAGCCCAATGAAACATGTGATTCACCTTACCAGCTTCTTTTTCCCACCAGCTTCAGGTTGTGAACCATTGAGACATTGGGCCCAAGCCTCTTCACCGCTATTTTTGGCATCAATGTGTGTAACAGCTGAAACCTGCAACATCGGCATCCCAGCCTTCTCACCTCAGCTCGTCGACCAACCCATTGACTCCAATCGTTTCTGAAGTGCCTCCCGAAATGACCTGGACGAGCACGAACGCAGCGAGCAGGTGGGAGCAGGTGGGTGGAGGGTGAGGTCAGCGATCACCGATTTGACACGTGGAGTGGATGTGCAATCCGCAACAGGAGCCGAGTGGCACCATGCTCATGCCCATTCTCTCTCTCCCTCTCTCTCTCTCTCTCTTTTGGACCGGTTTGGGGCACCCAAAATTCTAGGAACCCGTGCGTCGCTACTAGTAACAAGAAGCTACTAGTAACAAGTGCGAGAACCCCGGAAAAGCGACGCGGAGAGCTGCCCCCCTATGCGACGTGAGTGGAGATGGTCGTGACAAGTCGCTGGTGCAAAACGTTGTTGCGATGGTCTGATTGGAATGTGGAGATATTTCAATTTAGATCTCCCATACAACATATCCAGCACTAACACAAGAGGTACCACTGGATGGGCGACAAAACCGCCTTTACCATGGTTTTAGGGCACAGCAGAACACCAAAGGAACACCAATCCTGACAATCTCATTGAGGTGGATGACATGGTGTAAATCACAGGATGTTCTCCAAGTTCAAGATCAACACCATCTGTTTTCGAGGTGTCCTCGTCTGCACTGAGATCATCAAATATTCTATACTCCATTTGGCCGTTGGCAATCTCTTCTCCATCGATGAAACCATTCGGCGCCCAAAAAAACCGGACCTCTGACTGTATACACTGTAGGCACTCATCATAGATGGCCTCCCAGGCCTCCTCTGGCTGTCGGTCCCGCCGATGATTCCCAACACCATCGGTGATCACCATCGGTGTGGCATTGCTCTTTTGGCACGGCCGCTGACGGCACGAACAGTGGCGCTAAGGCATGGCTTGGCAAAGCAAGGTGTTGCCCAAAATCACATCAACAAGCCGACTCCCATCCCAGTCTGCAAATGCAAGGCTGCGTTCGGTGTGACTCCCGCCCCGGAAGACGCTAAAGAACACATGGATTTCTGGATTCGACGGGAAGAAGGAGTCGTGTCGTGAACCGCCGATGAACTTCTGTTCCATCAAGTCTTACACGAAATGACGAACACATCACATGGTATCACATGGTTACGTGGATGGCATGGCCCCTGTGAAGACTATTTGTATCTACAAACATGTGGTTTTTCCATAGTGAGTCGGAATGTGAACAATCTAAACACATTGCTTTGATCTCTAGACATCTCTAGACCCTACGTATGGCCCATTCTGTTGCTTTTACGGCTTTCCGCGGCATCGTCTGCCCAAAATGTCATGCTGTCAATGCGCGGCCTTCAGATCCTCAGCCGCGGATGGGACCGGCTGCAGGCCAGAGCCTCAAGCGCGATTCTTTTGGAAAGAAGTTGAGGAAGAATGGGCAGCACATAAGGCTTAGCTACTCACAAAGCATGAATCAGGTCACCGACTCGTATTGGGCCTACTTGTTAGGCAAGACCAAGGGCCACCATCGAGATCCATTGAGTGATCCAAACTAACGACCTAACGATCGAAAAAACAGCGGAATATCTGTGAACATCGATGTTTCGTTCATGGCAGTATGGAATTCTTTGTTCGATTGGCCCAGTCAACAGGACTCAAGAAATGCAAAGGATCTACGGATTGTGGGAGCACCTGACTGATCATCTGACTGTTGGGCAGCACCTTGGAGTTCCAGCAAACCCTGGCATTTCACTATCCGTATTCCCCCACACAGCGGATCCGCTGCCCGGAATGACGCCCTTTGAGCCCAGGTGCCCTGGACCTGCAAAACCTGGGGACCTCTAACACAAAAAACTCTTAAGCCTCTTCATTGCTCTCATGCTTCTTGGGACTCTTGACTAGTGCGAGAAAAAAGAAAACATGGAATGGAATGGATGAAAATTCAAGAGTGAGCAGACTATATACCTTGAGTCTTCAAAGACCCTTTTTTAGATGCGTTTTTGAGTTTGGTCTAAAATTTTTGTGTTTTTGCTCGAAAAACGTGTTTTCAGAGATGAGGACTCAATAAAAGGTACAGAGTGAATCTTCATCCGGACGCGTCCGGTGCGGACGCTTAAAGACGCCTTTTGGACGCAAAAGGACACGTTTGGGACGCCAAATTAATGGTCTCGGGACACTAAGGAGGATCTGACAGGGCACAAACAAAAAATAAACATTTCGTGAAATATGCCAACACATGTTTTCTTTCAGAACCATTTTTTTGGAAAGGCACATTTTAAAGGGCCATTGGAGACTCAATTTAGAGTTTCCTGGAGATGTGCATCCTATGCATAAAACGTTTCCGGTTCGCTTTTGACCGATAGCTGCAGGGTTGAAGAATGAGAGTGGCTTGTGTTTTGGTTCGATTCGACAATAACCGAACCGGTGTTCAGGCCCAAAATTGGCCCAAAAGGGTCCGCAATCCATACTCCCTTGTCACATCTCTGCATTTCCGTCGAGAAATAACCCAACACATCGCAACTGACCTCTGCCGCTGCCTGTCATTAATCTTTTTGACCAAACCCAACAGCCACGAAACCAAGCCCGACGCAACCCGCGGAACCGCGGAACAACCCGTTTCCCACGCTCCGCTCCGCCGTCGCCGAGGAGCGCGTTGCAAGCGACGCGTTGGCCGCCACCGGCCTGGACGGAGCGTGGTGACGGGGTGACGGGGTGAAGGACGTCCTGAGGTGAGAGACATCGAGAGGTGTGGATGGATGTTGCATCTCTGTCCCCTGAGAAAGTGGGCTGCTCTTGAAGTTGGGAACAAGTGGCAAAGTAGAGGCCTTATGTCAAGGCTTATGACACTCAGGAGCAGGGGCCGAGAGGTCATTCGAAGCGACTGTGTCGTGATTTATCGATTACTTTTCCAATCTGCCAGGGTGTTGGAGGGTCTTGGCCTTGAAGTCTCTGTTCTCTCAACGCCCAGTGACAACCCTTGGTCGACCGATCAGCCAAGTGGGGGCCGGCCGTTTCACCGTTCAAAAAGAGCCCCTACTCGGGTACCTATGGGATATAGCTTATAGCCTATAGGGTTCTTCGACCTCTGTTGGTAGGCGGAATTCTTCTTGGGTTTTCCTGCGAAGTAATCGCCAGCCCATCCTCCAAGGGGACGGCGTAGGATTGGCAGTGTCACGCTAACCAAACGCAGCAGTTCACAGCCCCAAGAACATGGTCAGGTTGTGAGCTGCCTGGTGTTGAAATGACAGCAAAATTCTCTGCGAAAAAATACTTAATCACAAACCACGGACAAATCAATCATCCTGGCGTCGCAGTAATATTGCTGTGGTTGACTCTCGGGCATCTGCACTCCTCTCGGAGGACGCCGTGGCTACTGGAGGTGAAGATAGCCTAGCACGGAGGTGCCCAGTAGATAGTCGATAGTGAAGGTTAAGGACACCACCCCACACAAAACAGGCGCTTATCAATGTGTAGGCTTAAGCTCCTGGGGGATAGACAAGCGGCATTCTCCCAAACACCCTCCGTGTTTTCCCCTTACTTGACTTAGAGCGCAAAGGTTGCAAGCTAGGCAGATGAACCCAGCTTTTCACATGGGTAGCGGAGCCGCCAAAGCGCGGCTCGGCACCGGTGCGGACGCCATGCCTATACAGCGGCTGGTGCTGGTGACAAGCCGCAGGACTACAGCAGCACTGACAAGCAGAACTGTTGGCTACAAATCAGAGTGGAGGAAACGCATTCAGTTGTATGCTCATCGCTGAAGGCTCCAGGGACGATCTTGTGAGACAGCTCTGAATTTACTCTCTGTGTTGGAGAGGGTGCAGCCTGGAGACAATGTGAAGATCTAGAGCTGTCGGAACTGGAGAAAGAAGATGGGATCCAAGCAATCCTACGTCGCTTGGATACCCAGTGGCAGTGCGATGAGCGGGTCGAGATGCCGGAGGCCTGTGAGCGTTTCTTTTCAAATTAGTTTGCAAATGTTTGCAAGCAGGGTCAATCGTTGTTGGGCTATTGCAGTGAGTTCAATGCGCGAGTTGAAGAAATACAAACTTGAGTTGCCCCGGAAGTCTTGGGTTGCCTGACGCTACGCCGAGCTGCGTTGACAAGGGAGCAACAAGTTGATGATCCAAACTCACATTGGTACAACATTGACATTGACAGGAGTTGAGCCAGCAGTTGAGTTTGGGCCAGGATCGCAAGGAACTTGATTTGTCTCAGCTGGGTTGCAAGCCCTGCAACAAGTCTTTCATGTGTGGAGGAAATGCTGAAGGACATGCTGAAGGAGTGCCAGGCCCTATGTAATCTTTGGCGCCACTCCCATGCTCCTTGGACGGCCTATCCTGGAGAGACTTCAGGCCGTGGTCAAGTGCCAGATCGAAGTGGGCACTTCCGGACCAACAGCAAGCGCCAGATCGCAGTGGGCACTACCGGACCCAACTGCAAGTGGCAGATCGCAGTGGGCACTACCGGGCCTCAACAGCAAGCGCCAGATCGCAGGGCGGTGCCGGACCTCAACCGCAAGCGCCAGATCGCATGCAGTGGGCGCTGCTGGACCTCAACCGCCAGCTTCCGATTGGAGTGGGCACTGCCGGACCTCAACACAACCAAACAACATACCCACAAACACTCAAGACACAATACACTACCAGCGAAGCACAACCCCTTAACCATTTCTTAACACAAAAGCTGCTCCCCTTCTGAAGGATTGAAAACCTTCTGGATTGACATTGTCACTTGCTTGCAATGCATGCGTGAAGTTGTTCAGATCTGGGATGAGGCTGGCCTCTTTCTGACCAAGTCAGGATATAGGAGGGCATGGAAAAAGGCACGGCAATGCATGTCTGACTGGGAAAATGGTCGAAAGACCAATGAAAGGAATTCATTCCGCATTGTCAACAAATACCTTGCAAAGATGCTCGCTATAACTGCAGATCCCCCTTGTGCTTCAAGGCTGAAGATTTTGCCGCGCACATTTCCATTCTCGCAACGAGTGTGTCAATGGGTGTTAGAGCAACAAACTTCCACCAAAAGCTTGCCCCCAAGTACAAGATTCTTTTGGTTCTTTTGCGCCTCTTGTGCACCAGACCAGGCTTCAGGCTGGAAACCTCCAGTGGCCCTTGAGAAAGAAAAGGGCTTTGCAAAAGGGCTGGTCTGATCTTGGAAAGGGTCAGGGGTTACACTTGAAGTGCCAGAGCCCTTGGAAAAGGATAGCCCTTGCAAAAGGTTCGTCTGGGGAAGTCTTGCAAAAGGGCATTGCGGCATTGCTATGCCGCAGCCCCTTGGCAAAGGAATGCACCTGAAAAAGGATGCGTGCGTCATCCACTGCCACGTGCAGTGGCTTGCACAAGCTATTGGCTTGCAAAAGCTTGCTCTTGCCAGCGGCAATCCAGCCTACTGGGTGGAAGGGATCTGGGGCAGAAAGTTGCTATCAAGATATTAATTCTGATCTTGATTTTGGCCTGGTGGAATGGGGATTGCGCCATCTAATTTGCAATCAATATAGCTTTTCTAATTTTGATTGTAATCAATATCGGATGGTCAGGGTCGAGCACTATAGCGGAACCCAACTGCAAGTGCCAGATCGCAGTGGGCACTGCCGGACCTCCACCGCAAGTGGCAGATCGCAGTGGGCCCTACCGGACCTCACCATGGCATGAAAACAAATGATTGACATGTCATGGTGGGGGATCACTTGAAATACAGTATTTTTTAAAACTGAAGCCACAAAAAAAGTATGTGAGAGAATTCATGCTTTGTAGCAGTCAATCGGTTTCTAGCAAACATCAAAACAGGTCCATATTTCCCTGTTATTATCTTCTTCCATGTTCAAGTACACTTGAGTGACACTTGAGGATGATGCATGCTCGGAAGTGGCTGTCTGACCTTTGCGGTCGCCATGGCAGCTTGGAGTAAAGCCTTGGCTACTCGGAAGAGGTTTGCAAACTGACCTTTAGCGCTGAATGCCAACTGCCCCTCACAGCACGTGTCATAATGTCATGCCAAATGCCTGTTGACTCAAGTCACAATGATGCAACCAGCTCTTTTCCGCTGACCGACATGTGCTGTGCGCGGTTTTCCCGCTTGATGTGTGCTGTGCACGGGTTTCCTGCTTGCCCGTAGAACCAGAGTCGGATTCTGCCAGATGGGTTCTAGGACTATGTATATATGTCCAAGTGCAAAAAGTCTGCAGGGTTTCAGCCCGTTGTTGGACCTCCTGGCAACTCCCAGAAATGGCAAACATAGATGATCAGTTGCGTAACGTACCTCATCAAATCCCTTCAACAACTACTTTCCTGAAAGTAATTTCCCAAGCGCAGGAGGTTCTGGGAGTGCGCCTGAAAACTGGTGCACTAACTTCGTTCAGCAGTTCTGTTTTGCAATCCATACATTTCCAAGTGCAAACAGCCTGTAGGCTTTCAGCCCGCTGTTGGACCTCCTGGCAACTCTCAGAAAATGGCTTACATAGATGATCAGTACCTCATCAAATCCCTTCAACAACTACTTTCCAGAAGGTCATTTCCCAAGTGCAGGAGGACCTGGGAGTGTACCTCAAGGGTTGTGCACTAATTTCGCTAAGCAGTTCAGTTCTGCGATCCATACATTTCCAAGTGCAAACAGCCTGTAGGCTTTCAGCCCGCTGTTGGACCTCCTGGCAACTCTCAGAAAATGGCTTACATAGATGATCAGTACCTCATCAAATCCCTTCAACAACTACTTTCCAGAAGATCATTTCCCAAGTGCAGGAGGTCCTGGGAGTGCACCTCAAAAGTTGTGCACTAATTTCGCTCGGCAGTTCTAAATGGTCCTGCGTTGAAGACATGTCCAATTGCAAAGAGTCTGTAGGGTTGCAGCTCGCTGGTGGACCTCCTGGCAACTCTCACAAAATGGCTTATATTGACGTTCACTTGTGTGACGTGCGTCATCAACTCCTCTCAACAACTACTTTCCAGATAGTCATTTCCAAAGAGCAGGAGGTCTTGGGAGTGCGCCTGCAAAATGGTGCACCAATTTCGCTCAACAGCTCTAAATAGTTCTGCGTTGAAGATATGTCCAATTGGAAAGAGTCTGTAGGGCTGCAGCCCGCTGTTGGACCTCCTGGCAACTCTCACAAAATGGCTTTATATATATATATATCGTATATATATTATATATATAGATGTTCAGTTGTGTGACGTGCGTCATCAAATCCCCTCAGCAACTACTTTCTAGACTGTCATTTCCCAAGCGCAGGAGGTCCTGGGAATGCGCCTTAAAAATAGTGCACCAATTTTGTTCAGCAGTTCTCAATAGTTCTGCGTTTTCCACCCTTGTCGCTTGTTCTTCCAACCTCCGCCTCCGCCTCCCCAAAACATTTGACCAACTTGCCCATGCTGGAAGTGTCGGTAGTCTTGGTACCTGTAAGAGTAGGCTTGCTGCATCACCGGCATAGGGGGGTTCAAGTCCATTGAGATTACAGCGTCGTAGGTGAGCCTCAAGCTGGTCTGCCACGGCCCGGTGCCCAACAGGAACTCAAAGGTGACTTCCTCGTCCAGGTTCACCTCCAGGCTCTCATCAGCCTCCTCCTCCTCATCCTTTTCTTCCGGTTCTTCCACGAAGAATGGTCCCATGATGACTTCTTTGGAAGGCTTGCAGAATTTGGACTTGTAAACAGCCGCCAGGCCCATGCAAGCGCAGGCCGCAGGGATCACAAGGCCCAAGCCTGGCAGCACGCTGTCAAGCTCGCCCATGCTGCACCAGCCACCGACGACCCCCAGGGGCAGGAAGGCCACCGAGTCTTCAGTGCTGAACCCCATGTCACTGCAGTTCATCTCCGCCAACACCTGGAAAAAGCTGCGGCCCAGCAGTACTCGCTTGGCGATCGCCTCCAAGTCCCTGGCGCTTGCTCGGTGATTACAGGCCTCCAAGAGCTTGTCCGAGTTTTGCATCAGCAGGCACACGCCAATCCGCCGCAGATCTCGAAAAGGGTCACTCTCGTCCACCTTCACCTTGAAGAGCACCTTAATGAGTCTCCGAAAGTTGCCCATGTGCTGCGGACGGGGATCCCAACCAAAGCAGAAGAAACTCCGCAACCACTGATCTACGATCTTCAAGAGACTTTCCTCAAAGCCTCGTTGTCTCAGGGCGGCAAAGGTGACTGGGCAAAAATGTCGGTAGCTCCTCAGCACCTGACGGGCCTGCTCCTGACTGCGTTGCTGCCCATGAGTTTCGTCGTCAACCTCAGGCCGCAGCAAGCGCTTCCAATAGAACTTCTCTAACATACGGATGAGCAATGCATAGGTCTTCATCTCCGACTCCGTCATGGCCAACAAATTTGAAGAGAAGATGGTCAGATCCTTGTCATAATCAAGGTACTTGTACTTCTTATAGAGTGCAAGGTGTACTCGTCGAAGTTGATGGCGAGCACCGATGAAGGCGTAGTTTGGATGTTTCAGCGGAAAGTGGTGAGCTTCACCTCCATAGACCTGGCCAATTGGGTCATCCAACGCCAGGGCGCGACCGAGAGTAATTTCCACTGGCACCTCGTGAGGGCCTACTCGGTCTCGCTTGTAGTCTGTGCAGGCTTCATGAAAACCGGAGACCAATTCTGCCCAGCAAAACTCATGAACTTTCTTTCTGAAGCAGCAGCAGAGCTCTGGGAGCTTGAACTTCTGCTGCACCGCTCCGACCTGCCTCTTCTTTTGACTTGCGGTGGTCTCGATGGAGTCCAGTTTGCCCTTCGTTGTGCAAACCATGTTGACAAACACGTTCGCAGCTGGGTCTTCGGATTGTTTGTTGCCAACTTTGAATTGTGTAGGGATCGGTGGGATAGATTGAATCCCACTGCTTCGAATCCCAACGCAACAAAAACTACGAACGCGAACGAGCTTGAGCAGGAGTTGGCATCACCCCTCTGCCTGAATTGAATTCAACACAATAGGAAAACATCCTCAGGCCACGGATGGCCATGGATCATGAACATCCTCATCCTATCTCATCTTCAATCAGTTGCTGTCAAAATCATGAGCTTGGCC